AATAAAATTTCCAATCCATGAACATGGTATATCACTCCACTTATTCAGGTCTTCTTTAATTTCTTTCAGCACTGTTTTGTAATGTTCAATATAGAAGCTACATGTCTTTTGTTTTAAATTTATTCCTAAGTATTTTATGTTTGTTGAGGTTATTGTAACTGAAAATATTTAAATTTAACTTTCTTGTTGTTTGTTGCTAGTTTATAGTAATACAACTGATTTTATAAGTTGATTTTTTAACTTCTTAAAAACTTTTCTTCTTTAAGATTTAGGGAGCAGAGTAACAAATGACTGCAGAAGAAGTGTGATGGATGTAAATAAGAGAAAGAAAATATCAGGAAATACCCAGAATGATTCTATATAGGCCATTTTAGGAAATAGGTAATGAAAAAAACAATTCCATATCAGTTAACTTTTGCTATATAACAAACCAACCCAAAACATTGTGCTTAAAAGAATGCACATACTGTTATTTCACAATCTTTGAGTTAGCTGAGTGGTTCTTCTGCTATTTTCACATGAAGTCACTCATATTCAGTTATATCTTTTTCTCAGAGATATATATGATACATACTTTATTCTGTCTGTGAATGAATCATTTTATTGGGGAAAATAATTTTGACCATAAAAAAATCTATTGAAAAGAACATGAATAATTCATTTCACATAATCAGAATATTGAAAATGGCCAGATGTTTTCAAAAATATTCATTTGTTCTTTCATCTAAAATATTAATATTTCAAATAGTTATGGTAATTCATTAAAAGATAAAATATTATAAGGTGTTATAGTTACTTTTTAAATAATTTTAACCCCACACAGAGTAATTAAAGACTTTCACAAGAGGAGGAAGGAGCAATATTTATATATATGAAAGTTGTGCTTAATCCTGGAATAAGAAGGAAATAATTTTTAAATGAATGGTTAATAATACATTAATACATATGGATCTATTCCAAAACTTTTAATATATAATATGTCTAAACATTATTTTTCTGCCCCTTAGTTTTTCCTTTATTGCCATTTATCTTAATAACCACAGTCCCATCTGGCTAGTCCAGATACCAGGAAGTCATCCTGCAAGTTGCTCTGTCCTTTACCCTCAATATGCAACCTACCAAATTGTTCATTGGACCTGCTTTAATTTTTTAGGCATTTCTACTTCTCCCCATCTTCATTTCAAATGCCCCTGTCCACATCACCAATTGTCTCTCTCTTAGGCAATAACTTCCTAACCAATTTTCCCATATTCACCCATGCCCACCATTCACATATTCCATACAGCAGCCAGGATGATTTTATTACAAACACACTTCTGACCATATCATTCCTGTCATTACAATGGTTTAGGAGAATCTCACACCCCTTAAGATAAAGTGGAAACCCCATGCCTCATGGACCCTACTCTTGCCTACCTCTCGGGTTCAAGGTACCACCACCCACTTCTCCTCACAGTGCTATGTCCTTTACACCTGCTACTATTTGTTGCAATTTCCAGGCCAAACTGCCCTTTTTCCAACAGGACCTTTTTTACACAAACCACACTTCCCTCTTCTTTTTTGCTAACCAGCCTCATCAATTCCTTCAAGTCTCAATTCAGAATTTCTTTCTGGAGACTTTCCCTTAACCTCTAGACAATGTCAGTTCCTTATCTTTTGCACATATATAGTATACTGCCCTTCTTTGTAAAGCTGGCCTCGCCTGTAATTACATGTTCAGTGTCTGTCTTCCCAACTGAACTAACATTTCCATAAGGGTATAAATTTCATCAATATATTCATCCAAGCTGTTTATTTCCAACTGTAGGAATGATGACTTTATGTATTGTGTATGGACCAAGTACAGTATCTGTTCTCAATACATGTTAATAAGCATTAATCATAAGAATACTTTGTCTCAGCTTGGTATGGTTTCAACAAACATGTATTACTCTCCCAGAATCAGCGTACCAAATGAAAAATCCCTTCAGTTGTCTCAGCATGGGAACTTGTGTTTTCTCACTTGGGAGAGAAATGGGCATAATTTAACCAGACTAGTAGAGCATCTGCTCCAGAGGTCTTGGGCTGAAGCAATTGGAAGCTTAATCTCACTAAAATGACTGGGTCTTGGCGGAGGTGAATGGGAAATCTTGCCCGATACTTGACCACACCAAGCTGACTTTAGTCAGGCTGTCACATTTACATGTACCAATACCTACATGTTCTTAACTTAAAAAGGGTAAGGGTAACTTAATTGTAAACAAAGCAGTTCTATAATAAAGAATTTTAGCCTTATCCTATTTAAATTTTCACTTATAAATTGAATAATTCATTCAACTGAACTGTTATTCACATCTTCTTAGGACTTTGGATATTTTGTGCAGTGCCCTTTATTGAGAATGGTGTTTAGGCAGCTCAACAATAACTATGTGATGAATTGTAAATGAGATGAGAAGAAACTTGAAGATGATCTAACAGTAAACTGCAAAGCTTATGTGGCAAAATACATGCATGAGCATTGAGATAGGGTTCCTAAAAATGCTGTGACTTGTCCTGGGAAATAACAAAGCCCTGCTAAGAGCAGTTCCAGCTGCCTTCCAAATGGTGATATTTTCATATGTGAAGTGCTAAATGATCATTTAGTGATCTTCCAAGCAAACCACAGAGGAAATCCACAAATTACTACAGCAGAATTTGTGTTGACACTTATGTACACAATCAAATAGGCTTTTCTCTAAGTGTCTCCATTAAAGGCTTGCTTTCAAAATGGAAAAATATTGCCTAGAAGTAGCTATAGGAACAAAGAGTAAACAGAAACAGAAATTACTGCTTTTTTTTATCAATACATTTTTACTGTGCTATAACCTTGTACTAATAATCAGTTTTAGGGCACCTGAGTGGCTCAGTCAGTCAATTGTCTGATTTCAGCACAAGTCATGATCTCATGGTTCGTGGGTTCGAGCCCTGCACCAGGCTCTGTGCTGACAGCTCGGAGCCTGCAGCCTGTTTCAGATTCTGTGTCTCCATCTCTTTCTGCATATCTCTCTCTCTCTCTCTCTCTCTCTCTCTCTCTCTCTTTCAAAAATAAACCTTAAAAAAACAATAATCAGTTTAAATAAGTGATTAGTGAGAATGAATTGACAAAATTTGCTCATTTCTGTATCGATAAATGGGTATTGTTATTAAGTCATTTATTTCTGGAAGGAAATAATATACTTTGCTGATGATACTAAGGGACCACTAAATAAAATACTGCTACAATGTGCTGCATTATTCTGAATCACCTCTGACAAAAAGATTTTTCTGTCATTCTGGTACTCTAATTTCTGAGAACAGAGATTTGTATTAAATATTCAATGTTTATTTCATATCGGCTAGAGATTGAGACTGTGTGATGTCTAAAGAGAAAACTATAAGAAAACTGCCTATGTCTTAAGAATGTACCCCCTATTTTGACATTTTCCTTGGAGATTGACTAAAGTTTCTAATTGCTTAATTGCTATTAGGATGATTGACTATTGTTTATTGAATTGACATCCTGCTGAGTTGGCATGGAGCCCAAGTTCTATTTGAGTCATGTGTTAAGGACCAGTTTTTAGAATTTTGAGGCTAGTATATAATAATTACTAGAACTACATATTTACCCCATGCCTGCCATACTATTAACAGAATGGTTATAAATGAGAAAATGGTCCCAAAAAAGTGCCAGAAGTTTTTAGAGTAATACTGAAAGCCAATGAAATGTGGAGACGTACTGGGCAAAATGTCAATTTTGGGGACAGGATGCTCTCATGTAGAACTAGATTTATGTAGAGTTGTAGTGAGGGAATCTCTGAGCTTGGTTTTTAATCCATTCTAAACAGACTCTCGGTTGCTTGGTATTTGTCTCAACTTTTTGTAACAATTTTTCCTAAAAGAAAAGAAGACAATAGCAGGCATGCTTTTATTATTTAAATGTTTCTACTCCCCTTCTGAAAATTTCCTGTCCTCAGAACATGGCTTCCACTGGGACACTTGAAGTCAAACAGCTTCTGGATTTACTGATGCAGGCTACTTACTACTAGGAATTTGAGAAATTCTTGGGAGGTGTCTCACCAGGAACCCAAGAAGTGGAATTTTAGGTGTGGCTAGCAAATGACTTAAAACTGCTTTAGTAGACCTCCTTGCAGACAGAAAAATGTTTTCTATAGGTCTTGTGGGCTTGAAGCCACACAATACTTTCCTTTCCATAGTGGACTTCCTCACTGCTCAGGAATGAGTGTATGGCAGGATGGAGTGTTGCTGGAGGTCATATGTCAAGTTCCTAACTGTGAGTGGGGAGAAACTGCTCTTGCGTTCCTACAGAAAACCACTGAAATGAGTCATCCTCTAGGGGGCAATAGAGTCTGATATAGGCTCATAATTGCCAGGATCAAGTTCCTGAGGGAAGGACTGATTAGGAAGAATTGTTAAACAGTCTTAGACTGGAGAATACATTAAGCAGGCTTCATGTTTACTATAGTCACTCAGAATCTCCTTGAATGTTTGTGGTTAGTGAAGTAGACCATGAGCTGAGTGTAGCTGCCCTACAAGAGCTTTACACATGAAGGAGGCTAAACCCCAGATCTAGGGAGGACTTCAAGAGAAAGGGATGAGGCAAGGCTGACTCAGCCTCGTTAGGTGCGTTGTTTTATTTAAAGTGAGGTTTCTAACCATATCTTACTAGAGGAGTGCCAGGTTGGGAAGAGTCCTCCTCATTTAACAGCAGTATAATTTTCCAGCTACCCAATTCCCTACAGTTGATAGTACCTAGAATAGGAGAAAAAGTGCTCTGGACCACTGCTGATTCCCCAAAACTTTGATGGCTCCTCATGGTCCCATACTGCCTCACTTCTGTTGGTGCCGGTTATCTAGTGGTCACATGCCCGTGTAATAGAAAGAATTCTGTGAAATCACCTTTATCCTCGTGTTACTGAAAATAAGGACACTGGATGGGTGTTAAAATCCAACTGCTGATGCATCTACTGGAAGTTTCATAGGAGAAACTTTCCTCAACACATGGTAGTAACCTGTCTGACCCAAGCAAAGAAGAAAACCAGGTTGGCGTGTGATGCCTGGTGGTGGTGAGTTGTACAAACACATATGGCATTCTCCTCTTGGTAGTGGGAATAAAGATCTAAGTGGGCCAAAGGTAACAGAGAAAATAGACGTGTGTACTTGGCAAATATCCAGAGACTCCCTCATCGCTTTGTTCTCTTCCAAGAAGAAAAAAAGTCTTACTGGTTGCATCTCATTTTCTATGCAGAGTTTGAGTGATGGGATGATTCTTATGAGAAAAATAGTCAAAGCACAGGACAAGAGTAAACGTGACAGAGGGAAAGTCATGCAGCAGGGACGGTCTGTCTATGCAGCTTGAGCTGTTGGTTATAGACTGGGCGCAGAGTCCCTCTCCTCCAGAGGAGGAAGATGAGAGAGAGGATAGCAGTGGAAAGACCATGCCGAGGGGCTGAGATGAAATTTATAAAGAGATGAGGAGTAAGAAAACTATCCATTAAAAAGAATGTTAAGTCATGTGGCTTGTATTAACAACACACTGTTTGTAGGCATTTTCCCCCACCAAGAGACTTACTGAAGATTCCAACTGCTTTTATTTACTATTTGAAAATAGGCCATTTGGGGACAGGGACTCAATTACATTTAGATTATAATTAAATAACATACTGATTTAGAATACTATTATCTACTTATTTGCCAAAATTACTTCTTCTAGCTCTCTCTTCACTTTATGTTTTGATAATAATACACTTTCCTAAGTAGCAATAGATCTGAGAAATATTTTAGAAATGTATTTTTAAATCAATAAAAAAATAAAGTTCCAGCCGGGTATTACCAGGCTGCCTGCCAAGTACAGTAATTGTTACTTGTGGAATTTTCTTAGAATGGCCAAGGCATTTGACTCAATAACTAAAACTCTGGAGCAAGTAGCTGGGTGGAGACATTCGTCTGTTGGAAAGTTGGTGGGTAGGTCAAGCCCATATGCTGGAAGAAGAGATTTATGGATTCACTCAGCACATCCAAGAAAAGGAGTATATGTTTTCTGCAAATTGAACATTGAATTTCACTCACCTATTGCTATTAGTTCCCCTTTTCTCTTAACCATTTCTTTGCCTCTTTTTCCTCTACTCCTCTCTTTGGTTGTTATTCTCTATACTAGAACAATACACTGTTTATTAACTTATACTCTTTTAGATGTGTAAGTACAAAGACCACAGTTAGGTCAAGTTAAGAAGGGTAAGTCAATTATTTAAGAACACACATGGACCGGGACTAACCCCAGAGCTGTGAGGAACTCGAGAAATGCAGAGAAATGGAGGCAGTGACAAGGACCGTAGGCATCACTGCTAAACTATGTGATACAGGCTACACAGTTCTCAGTCACAGTGTCCAAGTCTGAGCTTTGACCTTTTTCTCTCTGAATTTCCTCGTTGCCCTTTCCAATTTGGCAGCGTGTGGACCAAACCTGGGGAAAGGCAGACTATAAAGGTAAGCACCTCAGCAGCAAATGGTATATACCCTGAGCTCCAAAGGTCATTTCAAAAAGTTCACTTGTGAATGGGCTCTTTTATCTCCAAAGTACTCGTTGGCATGTGCCCAAGTGTAGAGAACAATTAAAGAACAATTTTAAATTTTAAATAGTTTTTCACGATTGCACCTTTTTAAGGTTCTGAATGTGGTTAGAATACCTTTTGTTTCCTCCCCCTGGGTATTTCAATCTATTGAACATCTTTGTGAACAATTCATTTTTGCTTTTATTTTTAATTTTTTTAAACTTTCTTTATTTTGAGAGAAAGAGAACATGCATGTGTCCACATGATCAGGGTAAGGGAAGAGATAGAGGGAGACAAAGAATGCCATGCAGGCTCCGCACTGTTAGCACAGAGCCTGATGTGGGGCTTGATCCCACAAACTGTATGATCATGACCTGAGCCCAAATCAAGAGTTGGATGTTCAGTGGATGGAGTCACCCAGGCACCCCTCATTTTTTGCTTTTAAAAGTCAAACCATTAACATAAGCAGCTAAGAAGTACAAAGTCTTTCTCTGACTAATCCATACTTTAAAAAATTCTAAACCATGTAATGTGGTTGTGGGTCTCTCATCAGAGAATGTGTACATATGTGGCACCACTTGCCCAGGGACCTGGGTCTTTATAGGGGCTTCAGGGCACCTCTGGGTTCTCATCCATTCTATTTTTCCCTTGCACATAATCCACTTTAATATCCATTATTTTGGAAAATAGTTATACGTAAACAGGATATTATCTGGTTTCTTTGTCAGTTAATGTAAATAAAAAGATCAATACATTTTCTAGGAAACAGGTAAAACAAAAAATGCTCAAGGAAATAGGAGTCCTCCCTTACATCCGTAGTATCTGAAATATTTCCTTACCTCCTCCATTGAGACATAGGAAGCCTACCCTCAAAACTACTTTAAATAAATGTAAACATTATTTAAAAGGATGTTTGTAGAACCTTTCAGTTCATAAATCCCTAGAAGTTAATTTACTTTGCTTAGAATTCAGCCCTTGACCACATCAGGAAGAAAGCTCAAGAAGTAGTTTAGGCTCAACCCAATGGCAGTTAGCTGGGAAAAAAACATGGTGCTTAAGCCGATGCTAGGCTCAGAATGCAGCTTATTAACATTTTGTAACTGCGAGGCATCCAAGAACTACATTTATTCCAAATCCAAGAAGAAACGAGGTCATCTGTTTCAGGCTTGTTAGAATTTTGCTTGGGGATTTTGTCAGGGGTGCGGTTCCCCCTCGTGAGCCTTCCTGAACCACTGAGGTAGGAAAGCTAACATCTACACCTTTCAGAGCCCCCTGAAGCTGGGGTTCGAGAATTTGTCTCTGCAGTCAGATGGGCTGCACAAAACCCGACACTGGGGCAAGGCAGGGTTTCTCCCTTTTCCGTTTCTGCTGAGTTTGCTGGCAAGAGTGATGATGTGGTCACGGGATCGATTCTGTAGCTTTATGGGTCTAGGGCTAGTAGAGAGCCCAGGAGGGGCAAGATGGCTCTGGAGCCGACAATACTTTCCAGATCCCTGGACTGCTGCTAAGGTACGTGTTCCCAGAGCAAAAGCTCCAGGGACGGCTTCCAGATTCCCAGCTTTTCTAAATGTGGTCTAGGTAACGGCGCCTTTGGCGAGCCAGTGTTACAGAATCATTCTGAAATTATTGCTGGAGGCCAGGCTAGCATCCAATTCTCCATCTCTTTCAAGGATTTTATAAAGACCGAACTCCCTGCTTTAAGTTACATCCTGCTTAAAATGGAGAGTTTTCTGTTATCTCTGACTGTATCCTGATTGACAATAGCAGTGGAGGCAATAGGTTAGATATTTAGCCAATTTGGGGCTCTCGGAAATGAGGACTGACTTAAGCATGAAATGATGGAATAATAATAATCCACAGCACCTGGAATAAAGCGCCTACAGAGAATACAGCTTTCATAACCGAATGATAAGGGCCATGGCACAGTATGACATGAGGAATAGGGGTTAAACTGGCTACTGAAAAGTGCACTGGCGAGATTAAAGAAATGAGAAATTGAGGGCTTTAAATTTTCCACTCAGTATGGCTAGAGAGCCAGGGATTTTTTTAGCCTTAAACAAATTTTCTTTTTGTGGTTGTTGGTACAGAAATCAATCACAGAGTCTGACCCTACAGCCTGTCAAATTACTCCATAGGTTGACTTCAAAGACTTGCCAGATTTCTTATGTTAAAATGCATCATTTGAGAGGTGGCTGGCTGGCTCAGTTGGTTAAGCATCCTACTTCAGCTCGGGTCATGATCTCACGGTTCGTGGGTTCAAGCCCTATGTCAGGCTCTGTGCTGACAGCCCAGAGCCTGGAGCCTGCTTCAGATTCTGTGTCTCCTTGCTCTCTGCCCCTCCCCTGCTTGTGCTCTCTCTCTCTCTCTCTCTGTCTCTCTTCCAAAAATAAATAAACATTAAAATTTTTTTTAAATACATTGTTTGGGAAGAGTAAGTTTCTAATATCCCAAACTAAAGCCCCTGACCTTCCCATGACAGCAGGTACAGCTCCTTCTACCTAGTGTACTAGTCTTTCAGTGCTTCACAAGCCTGTCATGACCTTTGCTGATGTAGTCACCCTTCCTGGGGATGCTAATTTGCCTCATGACCCATTCTATGTACACCACCATAAGTAGAATCTAATCTCAGATACCAGAGGGTGCCAGTGACAAAGCCACATCTTAGAAACAAATGCTTTGCACTTCCAAACCCTGAAAATCTTACTAAAGACGTAAAGAAATGTGCTGATGCTCACAAGATTTAGAGAACTCACCAGGAACCTCACTGCACAGAAGGATCTGGCCTGGTAGAAGAAAGAAATGGCTTATTGAAGACGGTGCTTCTGGTGCTAGATGGAGCTCAACTTCTTGTGAGTCGGGGTCTACATAGAAGAGGAAATGTCTTCCCACCAGTGCCCAATGTATGTGTGGTCTGGGCAGGAAGGGGGGTTACTATTCACGGTACGTTGAGGACAATCTTGCCAAGTTGTTGCTTTCTGTCTCAGTATGACTGGGGCATGGAGAGCTCTGATTGGCCAGGTCTCATTGTCAGCCTCTGGCAGCAAACATGAAGTCCACTCAGAACACAGGGTTTGAGAACTGGGAAGATGGTAGTTCTCCAAAGGAATATGTGGCTATGATTGCCGGAAGAAGGGAAAGCAACTGTTGTGTCATCCGGGAAGCTATTGCCCCATGTATACCACCCACCACCCAGGTGCCTGAAAACCTATCACAAGCCACTCATGACTAATAGATTTAAGCTTTGTCCCTTTTAAAAATGGTGAGCACGTTCTAACTTAGGGCCTTATCATCATTGTACAGATCCAAGGTGAAGTTGTCTGTCTAGACTAGTAGACATGAGGCTTTATAGAGAGGTGCTTGGCCACTTTAAAGGATAAGAAGTAAATCACGCACCTGCTATAAAATTCAAAAGAATATTCAAGGAATATTCAGCATTCACTATATTCAATATTCAACATATTCAATATTCAAGGAATATATGATGAGAAACAAATTTCCCTTACACCCCGGCCTTTCAAGATACCGGTTTATCTGCCACTCTGGTGACCCGGGGCCTGGGCTCGGTCCTCCTAGGGGGCATACCCCCACAGCTGCTTGTCTCTCTTGTTTCCATCCCAGGGGCAAACCCAAGGTGGAGGGCAGAGCTGGAGTGAGCACAGCAGAACAGAAGGTGGTCAATTCCCTTTCTTGGAGTAGCTTGTGTGAAGAAAACAGGTGGACAGCCTGGTGAGAGGGAATGCCAGATCCCATCCTTCCCCACGGCTAAGCCGCCCTCAGGCCAGCCCTGGCTGGGAGCCCACCACTTCCTCCATGTCCATAAAGAGCTCCGGAGACCTGCAGGAAAAGCCTCTGTCCTGCATCTGCTTGGACACACCAGCTCTCTAACCACAGAGAGGCCGCTTACAGACACTTCCTCCAGATACCTGGTAAGGGCTGGGCTCCGACTGCCATAACCCGTGGGAGAGGGAAGGAGCCGGGGCCGGGGGCGGGGGGCTAGTCTGACATGGCTTGAAGCCCCAGAATTCTATCTTTTGTCTTTTCATCTTCTGAATATTTTCCCCAAGGCTCAGCTGGTCTTGAACACTCCTGCCAAGGAGTGACTCGGGCAGCCAGTAACCACATGAAAAACCTTGCCTGTTGTTTTGACACTCGTGGCTCTTGGGAAGATGGCAACTGTTGGAAAGGATTGTATGCACTTCTGAGATTTTATGTACCTAATCTTTTAAAAATAGGCCCTGGGTTTGCTAAAGCGGATAATGTCACCTAGTTTGAACTTGATGAAAGCATAGAAAAGCAATTTAAACACTTGTATGGTTCTCCAAGCATAAGCACATGGACAGATTTTTGAGAGGATCTGCTGAAACCTCCTGAAATTTGTATTTCATCACAGATAAATGTGCATTGTTGTTTCGAGAACTTGATTATTAGATCATCAGGGCTGTAACTAACAACAAGAGTTTTACCTGCGCTTAAAAGTGAAATAAATAAATAAATAAATAAATAAATAAATAAATAAATAAGTAGGCAAAAATGCCTTAATAGTAAAAACAAGATATCTCAGAAAATGGATATTGTGGTATTATGTACTCAAACTAGTAATACAAGTATACTTTTTATCATAAGAATTCATAGTCCTTTCTGGATTTTTATGAGGTGCCCTGTACACGTAATTTGCTTTGCAATCTCTTTCTGCCCTAAATTGAAAAAATTAGGAATTAGGAAAGCAGGTACTGATGCGATTAATAGAAAATAGCATCTATGGTTCAATTTCATAGAATAATTTATGCAGTTAAGGAGAAGTGAGGGGTACTGGAGACAGCAATGTCGAGAAGTCAGACACAGCTGGTGCCATTTCTGCCTCTGCTGCTAATTGCTGTGTACTTTGGGACAGTTACTTAACATCTCTGAGCCTTTCAGTCTTGTCTTCTATAAAATGGAGACAATAAAAACTACTTTGGAAGATAATCGAGGGGACAGTGACACATAGCAGCCACTCCTTAAGGGCATTGTTTATTATCATTAATAACAGGGAAGATAATTGTCAACCAAGAGCCAAATGTACTTTCTTTGAGTGTTAAATAATTAGGTTCCTAAACTGAAGTTGGTTCCAGTTGCTAAAATGTGAATTCAGCCATCACGACTTTGGATTACAGAGATTTCTTTATATCCAGTAGGACACTAATAGTTGGGAGTTTCTAGGTAATTTTATAATATGAAATCAGTGCTTGGTGTGTGGAAATATCACCCCCAGAGTTGGACACATTGTGGGTCCCTGAGCAAGTCTTTCAGCTACACTCTGCCACAGTGTTATTATTTCTCAAATGCTGGAGATGGGGAGCTACTTTCAGGCTAAAATTAAAAGACATCATGGTTTTGTTTTGGAAAAACCGATTCATCAATATGTTTTTTTTTCCATGGCTATAAAAAGTATTTGAAAACGAAACAAAATAAAGTAGTAAAAAATCTTGGTATGTATTTTTTCCTTGGATAATGAGGCTCTCATTCAAGTGCTCTTGGAAAAGATTATTTTGTGCTCTGGTCAAGGTGGCCTACTTTTTTTGTGTGTTGAAGGGCTTTGCAATTAGAAGTTATTTGTATTTTCCCAGGGAGTGTCCACTTTGGGAAGAAAGAAAATTATATGCCTGAAGAATATGGTTGGCCAATTTATTGTTGTTTATGTCTGTGCTAGACCTAAAAGGAAATACATAGAATTCAAGTTTCTTTCTTTCTCTTTCTTTCTTTCTTTCTTTCTTTCTTTCTTTCTTTCTTTCTTTTTTTTTTTTTTTTTGGCATGGGAAAGGGTGGTACAAATTTAGTGTCACATTTTGTTTTATGGTAGAATATGACTTCCCCTGTTTTAACGTGTTTAGAGGTGAGTTCTTTGAACTCACAGTCTAAACCAGCCACATATGTGTGTGTAAGAAATGGGAGGGAGAATGAATCAGAAGTGCTTCGGTACAGGAAGGTTTTAATAAGTATGTTCTCCCTCTTCTGAAAGATTGCTTAAATACATTTTAATTTGTCTAACGTGTTCATTTTTTGGGAGGAAATTGTCAATACAAATAAATTCTTCCCTCTGAAATTATTTTTTACTCATAGGGACTTCTTTCTGTGCCCTGTACAGGAAAATCAGTTATCTCGGCCACCTGGTACATTATATCGCACAGGACTGTCATCAAGAAGAAGGTTTGACTGCAATTATCCTGAGATCGAAAGGCGTTTGCAACGGACACATGAAATAACTTGATTTGTAAAGTACAGGTAGTAGAGTCCACGAGGACTCTGTTGTAGACAGGATTTTTTCATTCATTAGTGCTAGGTGCCCTCTCCTGGTCAGTGAGAGTAATGTTCAGGAGCTTATTTCTAGATTCTGCTTTGCTAGGCAGCATGAGGTGCCTCCCCACAGGTACTCCATGCCGGGCTTCCTATGTGAACAAAGAAACGTGAAGGTAAGTGACCTCATTCCGTTCCACGTCCTCACCCTTTTGATCATCAGACGGTGTTTGCTTAGCTGTGTGTGGTAGGGTAATATTTTCGTTTGTTACCTGCTAATCTCTTCTCTTTTTCTCATGACTTCACCATCAATCGGAGAGCATCCCGCATATGGCCTGTTTGTACGTGACAAGAATGACAGGTGGAAGAGGAAGCCAGCCTTGGGCAGTGAACACCTTCCCCACTGGCGCTGAAACCACCACCTTTGTATAATAAACCTCAGGAGCTTCAAACCCCGGTGGGGGGGGGGGCGGGGAGGGGGGCATTCCAGTGCCATTGTGTGTTAATCTTCAGTATCTGTGAAATCAGCTGAATTTTACTCATTTTACCCTAGTTTTTGGCATGAAATCACGTGAGATCTGTAACTGCAAAAGCCTATCTTCATAAGCCTGTTTAAAAACCATGATTGAATTACGGTCTCTCGTATCTCAACAGGAAAACACAATTTTCGATCACAGAGCTTAGCATACATACCAGGGTGAATGCACATGTCCTGTAGTCTACACTCTAGTCTAGGATAGAATTGAACTTCCAATCTCTTCTGTAAGGATGAGGTAAGTGTATTCCCCCAGACAAAGAACAGGCTCGCTTCCTATTTGTTAAAACAAAGTAGTGGATTCTCCAAGTTCACTGTTCTTTGGCTGTGATGCAAATCCACTGTATGCATTGAATCCAGTGAGCATATTGGGTCATACTGGGGGGACGTGGGGACAAGGGAGCCAGTGTAAATATGCTGAACCTCATGCTGCTTGCTGTGCAATGAGTCATAGCGTCCTGTGTTTCTGATTCAGGATCTCAAGTCTTCAGCCAGCGCTCATGAAATATAACAACAGGCTCATTTGTTAGTTTGTAAGTGGGGTAAAATCAAATTCCTGACCTGACAATAGTTTCCTCCCCAAGTTGTTAATATTTTTATATTGTACCATTCTACAGTTAGTATTTTGCTGACCAATTCCAGAAGCCGATTGATTTATCTTATCAGTTTATCCCACTGTGATGAGAAGCTATTCTTCAAAATTAATTTTGAAGTAATGTGAAAATATGTTAATGTTATAAAAAGTGTATTTCCTCTTAGAAAGCAAAATTTGGGGAAAATTTTAAGAAGGCATTCTGTACACCTTCTTCTTCCAAACAGGAAAATAGATAAAATCCAGCACAGATTTGATAAATGTCTGTTTCTCACACTAAGATTCTGAAAATGTATCTGTTCATTTACCACAGATAACCCTAGTGCCCACTGCACTGTTACTGGTACAAAGGAGGTCCTCCATTAATGTTTGTTTAATGAATTTATGAACAGAAATACTCTAGGGGCGCCTGGGTGGCTCAGTTGGTTGAGTGTCCAACCTTGGCTCAGGTCATGATCTCACAGTTTTTGAGTTTGAGACCTGCATTGGGCTCTGTGCTGACAGCTCAGAGCCTGGAGCCTGCTTCAGATTCTGTGTCTCCCTCTCTCCCTGCCCCTCCCCTGCTCATGCTATCACTCTCTCTCAAAATAAACAAACATTAAAAAAAAATTTTTAAAGACATAGTCTAAATTTTGTTAATTCTGTGATAATAAGCCCAAGATAATTTTTTTCAGTCACCATAAAAATGACTACCATAAGTAAATTACAAATAATGATGGGTATGGTTATGGGAAAGGACTCATTATTTTAAGATGGATTTTATTTTAATTGAATACATACTGTTCCAATGATCTTTTCTTTTCCATTAAGAAAATGAATTAGAAGCATAAGTATAATTATGCCTAAAGTTAAAACCAGAAAATGGAAGAGAAAAAAAATCTTTCTATTATGGAAAATTTTAAACATCAATAAAAGTAGAGAGAATAATAGGATGAACTCTCAGGCACCCACCATCCAGCTTCAGCACTTACCAAACATGCCAATCTCATTCATCTGGAGACCCCGCACTCTGCCCCTGGATTATTTTGAAAGCAATTTGTGAGTGCATATCACTTTATCTACACATTCTTGAGAACAAACGCACTTGTTAATGAGAAATATAAAATATGCCAGAAAGGATAGATGATTGTCATGAACTTAATATTTCTAGTCAAAGCAAAGCATGAGCAACAATGGGATTTCACCCTAAAAAGTACTATTACATTTTTGGTATGACCAGCTCTAACTTCTACTCAAGCAGAGAGAAATTTTTTTTAACGTTTTTTATTTTATTTTTGAGAGAGAGAGAATGCGAGCAGGAGAGAGGTAGAGAGAGAGGGAGACACAGAATCCAAAGCAGGCTCTAGGCACTGTGCTGTCAGTTGAGAGCCCAAAACGGGGCTCAAACTCAGGAACTGTGAGATCATGACCTGAACCGAAGTCAGACACTTAATAGACTGAGCCACCCAGGTGCCCCAAGAAATTTTAAAGTTCTCCTTGCTCTTTTTTCCCCTCTAATTTGTATCACTGAATTTAGGATATATTGATGATTTCACGAGATCCACATTATTAAACCCAAATGAAAGCACTTCAATTTTAATAAAGCTTTCCATCAGAAGTAAGAATATTTTCCAGTTACCACCACTTTTAGGGTAAAATTGTTAATATTTGACCTCTGTGAAGGAAAATCCTAACATAATTATTTTTGTCTACTAAAACAGCCACACTGACTTGTTTTTTAAAAAAACTCCTGTTGTTATAATTTGTCAAAAGAAACAATTTTGGGAAGTGATGTTGGTGTGTGTATGTATTTGCGTGCTTATGTAAACACACAGTGAAAATGCCTTAGAATTGTAAGATAATGCTATAGTTTGTTAGCTTATGTTCAGTCAGCACACATAAGTTTGGCCATACTTGGTAAAATATTAAGATACTTATAGGAGACTAGCTGCATTTCTAAACCTCCTACGTTCCTGCTACATCAGGCTTTTGGATCTCCCATGATCCAGTAACTAAAAGGTTAGAATGTAGCCCCATTGAGAACCTGCATGACCCTGTTCTAGCATTAGGCACTTCCATGATCTGATTGCCTCACTGCTTGTAAATATTTTGAAAATCTGCTCAAGTTTAGAAGATGATATAGAACTGATCCAGGGAGTAGATAGAAATGTGGAACAAACTGTGGCAGGAAAAGAAGGCAAGTCCCAGAAAAGCAGGTTGGAGATAACTAGAAAGCCTGACTAAGAGCTTCCTATGTGCATTACAAAAAAATAAAAAAAAGGAACTTTTTACTGCAATGTTAGAAGACCAGAAATAGATTATAGAGGTAATAATTTAAAAATTCACAGGAGGATTGTATAAAGAGTGCTAGCTGACTTTTCTTCTTTTCTTTTCTTTTTTCTTTTCTTTTCTTCCCTCCCTTCCTTTCTTCCTTCCTCCCTGCCCTGCCTCCTTCCCTTCCCTTCC